TTGTCTTAATCCCCTCCGGAGTTGGGAATTTTAACACTTGACGAAGAGTTGAGGGCACTGCCCTCATGTCATGGATACATGGCCTTCCGAGAAAGGCGTTGTACCTCATTTCTCCTTCGATCACATAAAACTTGGCCTCTCATCTGGTTCTTGTGATATTGACCTGTAACTTTATCTCCTCCTTAGTGGTTTCATATGCCATATTGAACCCGTTTAGAATTCGGGCTGCAAGTACGATTTTGTCTCGTAGACTGAGTTGTTCCAAGACCCTGGATCGAATGATGTCGGCCGAGCTACCTGGATCAATCAACACACGTTTAATTCAAGTTTTATTTATGAGTACAGATACTACCAGTGCATCATTGTGAGGCTGTATGATCTCTTCCTCATCCTCATCGCTGAAAGATAAAGTTCCTTCCGATATGTAGACTCGAGTTCGTTTATCCCTAATGATGGATACTTTGGTGCATTTCAACATCGGCCCTTGTGGGATATCGACTCCACCGATGATCATATTTATGACATGTTGAGGTTTGGTATCTTCTTGTTCTGTCTGTTTGTTATAATCCATATTCCTAAAGTGGTTCTTGGTTCGGTCGCTCAAGAATTCTTGAATGTGCCCATTGTTGAATAAACGGGCTACTTCCTCTCTCACCTGTCGACAATCTTCCGTTCTATGACCGTGAGTGTTATGATATTTGCACATCTAGTTAGGGTCCCTTTGAGTTGGATTGGATTGTAGAGGTCGAGGTCGTTTGGTATCATTGATGTGCCCGATAGCTGATACGATGGCGGCAACATCAACATTAAAGTTGTATTTTGATAGCCTCGGCGCTTCTTTAGGCCCGATGGACATGTCAAAGATGTTGTTGGTCATGAGCCCCCGATTACTTCGACCTTGATCAATTCTCCTTTCGTTTCATACGGGGTTACGTACGGACCCACTCCTCCTCCGATCTCCATTATATGGTAGATATCGGTCCTTGTTTGATCTTAGTTCACGATCGATGTCTCTCTTGACTATGTCTAGGGTTTTGACGGGATATACAGGCTCCGAATGGACCCCGAGTTGGTCATCTTCGACTCTGATTTTTGATTGATACCGGTTATGTACATCTGCCCAGGTAACGGTAGGGTATTCTATCAGATTCTGCTTTAGGTTATGTGAAGCCACCGAGCTTCGAATATTGAGTCCCTGAGTGAAAGCTTGAACAACCCAATCATCAGCGACTGGCGGCAGGTCCATTCGTTCCATTTGGAAACGGGACACGAATTCTCTGAGCATCTCGTTATCCTTCTGTTTAACTTTGAAAAGGTCTGATTTCTTGGTCTCGACCTTGATGGCAACAGAATGTGCTTTCACGAAGGAGTCTGCAAGCATAGAAAATAAATCGGTCTCACGAGGGAGTCTGCAAGTATAGCATGTGATACTATGTCATAACTCCTTTTGACAAGGTCTCCCCAAATGTTTTCAGTAGAACTGACTCGATCTCGTCTTCTTCCAAGTCGTTCCCTTTTATGGCATACGTGTAAGGGGTTACATGCTCGTTTGGATCGATCGTTCCGTTATACTTAGGTATTTCAGGCATACGGAATTTCTTGGGGATTGTCTTTGGAGCCGCGCTCGGAGGAAAAGGTTCTTGCACGAACTTTTTGGAATCTAGTCCTTTTAATATCGGAGGTGCTCCTGGGATTTGATCTACCCTGGAATTGTAGGTTTCCACCTTTTTATTGTTCGCTTCGATTTTCTTTCCCCTGATTCTATCCGCCATGTTAGCTCCTCGAGCATCTTTAGAATCTCGGGATTAGTACTCGATCATTGTTCATTTGACCTTACTACGACTGGTTCATTTCTATGGGTGACTTCACGGGGCAGATCAGGTTCAACCCTGTTCGACATCTGGCTTTGGCTCTGCAACTGAGCTATCGCAACATGTTGATCTTGCAGCATTTTGAAGATCATCCTTAGGCTGATCCCATCATCTTCATTGTTTTGTGTGTTTCAAGCTGCCGATCGAGACCCACCACAGATGCAATTTTTGGGGTCGGTAGGCAAGTTGGCGTCGATAACCACACGTGAATTAACATCAATCGGATCTTCGATCGAAATTCCAACGGGACCAGCGGGTGGCCCTACGTTACCGGGCGCTATGTTGTTATTCTCACCCTGATGACCTAACTCGTTGTTGATATGCATGGGTTCTAATTGAGAGTTTGACATTTTTATCATGAAATCAAAGACACTTCAAAGAGCAAGCGTAAAGTAGTGTGTGTTATGGAGATTTGTATCAAATAACCACTATTATCCTTAGCCCCAACGGTGGGCGCCAAACTGTTTACCCTCAAAATCGGATAATAATTGAATTTGTTAGTGGTTATAAGGACATGTGGATTAACTTGATACAAAGCGATAAATTAGATTGCAATTAAAATAAATGACGGTAAAATAACTGAAAACCGCAGGAATTGGATGATTTTAGCTTGAGAATGCAAGCCACTCATGAGTTGAATGCGCTTTTATTGACAGAAAAATATCGAAGAGTAGGAGCTTGGAGAATATATTGCTTATCAGTATATGTTACAATGTCCTTCATGGATTGTCAAGTCCCCTTTATATATTGAGGGAGACCTACCCTTTAGGGTACTATTTAATTGTACTATAAAAAATATAAGTCCTTGATTTTGAAGACCGTTGGTTCCCTTTTTGACTAATTCTGTGATTTCTGCCATAATGATTGCTTAGTGACAAGAATCATGGACCCTTGTCGGATGAGTTGGCAGAGCTTACTTCGAGACCGTTAGAAACATGATCGGTTAAGCCTTCGGCAGACTCGAGGGCAAATATGATAATCTCGATAGCTAGTTTTGATGATGCTTTGTGCCCTATCTTGAATATTATATTCCGTCTTCGGCTGACCATGTTGGATGTTAGATCGAACCTCAGACTTCGATTTTTACTCTATTACAGATGTACCGAACTTGACCCTCCGTTTCTCCAGCTCGATCGAATACCGAGCTCGGTTTTACCCTACACAGTTATATTGTCACTTAGCCAAGATCATCATATTATGTCTCCTTGATCGTTTATATAGTTCTGCTGACTATTTCGACTTTAATATGTTTTAGCATGTTAGTTATCATTTTTATCTAGTTACAATTTACTTAATACTTCTCATAGCAATTTACATGTAATTATGTTATAAGTGATCTGATTTTGTGAATATTTTTATATCAATCACTACAGAACTTAAGCTGTATATGTACGTGAAAATTATGCACGTGGCTGAATTATTATCAATTATCACACCGAACAAAAAATAACAGTAAAATTACTGATGTAGCTTTGTTAAAGCTCAAATTAAAGCACGCATTTCATAATTTCTAAGAACTTTTTTCGTTGAACCGTGAATGCCCCTATTTATCACCATGAATTTTCCAAGTTGATTCTGAAAGTTTGTGCCATAACCCTAATAAATAACTCATCATTTTCGTTAGCCAACATTTTATACAGTTTGTTTCTTCTACATGGTATCAAACTATCAATTCCTTTATAACAAAACAAGGAATGAATAAATTGATAATCTCTCAGCGGGAAAATGTGGATTACTTTTCTGATGATGATCAAGAAAATTAAAGAGCTCATTTAACATATAGACAACGTTCATAATCAGATTGTACCGTGCTTTTGTGAGGGTTTGGCCTAGTCCCCTTCGCTTTTAAATTTGTTCCTTCTTTTGGGATTTTCATCAATAAAATACAGCCACTCATTGTTGGTTCTTGTTTTAAAAAATATTGTGGAGACTCCATGGATAAATACTCTACAGAGAAGACACACTAATGACGTATAAACACGAATATCTCCAGACAATATAGAAAGGATTGCTTGAAAAATTGTACAATGGGACAGCTATTGATGCTAAATTTAAGCTGACTCTAAGAACGTTCAAGCAACTAGCAGATGCAATTTTTAAGTCAACTCCGATATTTATGGAAAAAGAGTAAGATCATTGGTACTCAAAAAGAAAAAAAGAGAATGCATTAAATTTTTGATCTGTCAAAAAGGTGAGGAGTATTTTTTATTTTAAAATAAAAGAGAGGAAGAAGCAGTGGAAATATTTTGTAAATACAGAAAATGGATCGTTGTGTCCTTCAAAAAGTCATAGCTATAAAATAGAAATATATCCACGAGCTTCACGTCATTTTGTTTAATTATAAAGAAAAAGAAGTCAACTCCAAGTTAGGTGGAGGTGGGGGAGTGGGAATAAGACAGAAAACCAAAGTTGTTATTGTTCTCATAAATTATTCAATTGGCATAATACATGAATAGGGGCAAATTCCAAATTTGGGTGTGGACAAGTAACCATCTCAACTTCTCTATACTTTGTCGGTTTAACACTTTAACTTATCAAATGATCTTCTAGACACCTTCAGAATTTATATGTCACGTTAGTGCCATATCAGCGTTAGTGTTTATATATTCAACTTTATACAAGTTGAGATGTCTATTTGTGCACTTCCAAAATTGAAGGGTATACTTGCCGGCTGAAGCCAAATTTATGGGCATGTTTATGTATTTTGCCTGTTCAATTCTGACAAAGTTGGCATATGGCTGGCTACTCATAATTATTTAAGTCAAACAAAGTTAATTAAAACCCACGTTTGTCCCACATCCTTTAATTTAAATCCATATCTTTCTCTTCAGAAGTGGAAATGCAAAAATTTACGTCAACCAGTAGCGTGGTTATGGCTATTTACGCGGCAGAGGCCATGGTTGGCATACTAGTTTTTCTTGAAATTCAACGCTTCAATTTAATAACAAAATTACTCACAATCATTGCTTCTTTAGTCTTTGCTCTAATATATTTTTTAATTTTTATAAACTTCCCTTGTGAAACATAAGAAAATTATTAATACTGCTGTAATTACTATGTTGATTCTTCATTTAAGTTAACTTATTGTTTGTGTGGGGCCACTTCTCAATTATATATAGCAGGCTACACTTCTCACTTCTCATCACTGCAACAGGTCCAAAAATCCAAACCTTCGGAGAAGAAAAGCATTTCAGCTTGAGTAACAGAATACTCCAATTTAATATCCAAATCTCTAGAAAACAAATATGGAACATCCAGGATTAAGCACCAATATGAGGAGAATCCTCCTGCTGATTAGCTGCTTAATACTCGCTGTTGGCATATGTGGTGGTCCTCTAATGATGCGTCTATATTATGTTGAGGGAGGTTCAAGAATATGGCTTAGTAGTTGGTTACAAACTGGTGGATGGCCACTCACCCTTATACCTCTTGCCATCCTATACTATTATCGTCGAAAAACCGAAGGCTCAAACGCCAAGTTTTACTTGATGACACCCCGAATTTTTATTGCATCATTTGTTATTGGCGTTGCCACTGGTCTTGATGATTTTCTCTATTCGTGGGGCGGGTCAAAACTCCCCGTATCAACCTCTTCACTTCTTCTTGCTGCTCAACTTGCCTTCACGGCAGTAGGTGCTTTCTTCATAGTGAAGTTGAAGTTATCACCCTTCTCTATCAATGCAGTGGTTTTACTAACAGTTGGTGCTGTTTTATTGGGTATTCGATCTAATGGTGATCGACCAGAGGGCGTGACAAGTAAAGAATATATTATTGGTTTTATGATGACACTTCTAGCAGCAGCTTTGTACGGAGTCATTTTGCCTTGTATTGAGTTGATTTACATGAAGGCAAAACAAGCTATTACTTCTACGTTAGTATTGGAGATTCAGATGATCATGAGTTTTGCTGCTACTGCCTTTTGCACTGTAGGAATGATCGCCAATAAAGACTTTCAGGTATTTTTTTCTTCCATTGTAACTCATTTCTACACATGCATTTTATTCGCTCTGTTGTAGTTTATGTGACACTATTATTTCCGGGATTAAATTTTTTGCATCGTCAAGTAATATTTTTTTATATATAATTAAGTCATTTATGAGATAATTATAGTTAGTTTTTATGATACATTAATTGTAACCTCATAAAAATAGCAATTGACGCGTCATCACAAGCTACACTACATTAATATTGTATGAGAACTTTACATTGTAAACGTGTAAATAACTTAAATCTTTAAGAACTTTACACTGTAAGTGTGTTAATGACTTTAAATCTTTTCCTTATTAGTTTGGTTCAAATAAAATGACATGTTTCTACTTTAGGAAAGTATTTAAATTTAAAATTCTAATTTAACTTCAATAAGAAGCTTTTATTGGCATACAGTGTTATGACACATTAAAATCATAAGTTTGAAATGTTGGACATAAACATATCACTAAAGTTTGTGGCTCTAAGACCTTTCTGATCTTTGTTTCTTAATATTTGTGTGGTTATAAAATATTTTCATTAAGAATAAAATAAAAAGTTTTAATTAAATTATTTTCAATTTTACAAATGTGATATTCTTTTAAACTATTCCCTCCGTTTCAATTTAGATGATGTGGTTTGATTCGATACGGAGTTTAAAAAAAACATATTTGAAACTTGTGATCTTAAAAACTTAAGGGGTAAAAGTTTTGTGGGGCCATGATATTTGTGTGGTTATAAAAACTTCTCATTAAGGGTAAAATAGGTAAAATGAAGAGTTTAAAGTTGAATTATTTCCAAATTTAGAAATGTGTCATTTATTTTGGAACAGACTAAAAAGGAAAGTACCCTATCTAATTTGAAACGGAGAGAGTAACTAATAAGAAAATAGTGTCATTCTTTTAAGGAAAAAGGGATTACAAATTTTATTTTAGCTATAGAGGATCTCTTTAAATGTCAAAGATTAAGATATTGCTCGAAATTTGCAGGCAATGTCAAGGGAGGCAAAACAATTTAACGTCGGAGAAGCTAGATATTATACAGTTATAGTATGCACTGCCGCTATTTGGCAGTGCTTCTTCGTGGGTATTATTGGAGTTATCTACTGCTCTTCTTCTTTGATGTCTGGGGTTATGATTGCAGTTTTGCTCCCCGTTACTGAGGTATTAGCTGTAATTTTCTTTAAGGAAAATTTTTCAGGTGAAAAGGGTCTTGCTCTTTTCCTTTCTCTTTGGGGTTTCGTCTCATACTTCTATGGAGAGTTCAGACAAACAAAGAAGCAGAAGAATACAAGTCCAGAAGCTGAGATGACAATTACGACACATACTGAATCTGTTTGATTTACTATTCATGGTTATAAGGATAACTAGTTTTTATTTTTTGTACAAAATAATGTACGTCGTTTTCCTTTCATTGCTACTTTCATTATGTTTGTGAAAAGGGTCTCTCTCTTTGAAATTTCTGATGTTGCTCTTAAATCCGTAATACAACACTTGAAATATTTGCAGTTTCTAGTAAATGCTCATTTTGCATGTCTAATTCAACGTTACAATTCATGAAATCACAGTTTAATAATAATAATTAAAGAATATGAGAGTTTCATGGTCACCGCTATTACTTGCTAATATTTTTCATATTTTTAAAGGTACTCAACCATTAGTTACTCTCTCCGTTCCAAAATACTTATCATTTTTCGTTTATCGAGATTCAAATTTCATGAACTTCGATCAATATTTGAATATGTATTATTCAACGATATTTACATGAGAAAAATTACATATTATAGTGCTTTTATATAGTGTTTGAATATTCAAATTTTACTTTTAAAATATTAAATTAATCTAATCAAATTTAACTACAAAGATTAGTCAAATTAACAAGTATTTTGGGACCGAGAGAAGGTCAACTTTCATCTAGGTGTTGTGAAAGAAAATATCTACGAGTTGTATATCGTGATTCGTGAACATAATCAGTTATGTGTATCTTTCCGATGGCCTAACTTTCAAAGTTAAATAAGTATGTTTCCGTTTTGACAAAGGCACTTCTAATTTTTCAAAACTTTGACTAAACAAGTTACAAATGGACAAGACAAAGCCAACTAGACCACATGAGACCCTAAACACAGAAATAATTTTACGTTTAATATAGACCAAACTGGAAAAAAGGAAAACAAAAACGTCCCAAATTTCACATCAAACTTCCTTTTTTTCTTCCGATAGTCACTTGTTGGTTTATTATAATATTTTTTCAATATCTCTTCCATCTTAGAAAGCAACGTTAACAATAACCACTTTGTTTAATTTCACTCCATTTTTCTCTTCACAAGTGGAAAATGGTCTAAGGAAAATCCCCGCCAACCAGTAGTCCGGATATGGCTATTTACACGGTGCACGTCATGGTTGGGGTACTATTCTAGAAGGAAAAATAATATTTTCGGTCTCTATATTTCAACTAAATTATGATTTTAGTCCACGTATTATATGACTTAGCAATTTTAACCTTCAAATAACATTAATGTGTGATTTTAGTCTCCGCATTGACAGTAGTTTAGCAGTGTTAGGTTCAGTAAAGGGTAACGGCAGAGGAGATGGGAAGTCGTAAATGCAAAATGTGGAAGAGAAAATGTTAAAGGGCCAAAGTACCTAAAAAAATAAATTTTTTTGGAAGGAGTTATAATATGTCTTCCTCACTTAAAATTGTGTCTTGAGCAGTACATGAACCAAACTACCAAATAAGTATTCGTTAGTTGAAGCTTAGTCTTGAAAGGTGTGCTTAATAATGTCAATGGAGAGGAGAAATATTCGAAGACACAATAGCCCGCCCCTCTCCTGCAAATTTCTTAGAAAATGTTACTCCGCCCGTTTAAATTTAGGTGAGTTAGTTTGATTGGGCATAATATCTAAATAAGAAAGAAAACTTTTTAAACTTCTGATATAAAACATGTCGAGACATTTTTGTAACCACAAAACATATTATTAAGGATAAGATGAAAAAATTTAATAAAGTCGAGGTTCCGATGCATGCTATTCTTGCGGACAGCGTGGCCATATGATGCGGGATTGTCCTA